AAAGAATCCATGCAGGTTTTAAGCAGCACTAATTCATTTCATTAATAAACACTAGTTTCTCAAAAGGCCACGTTTTCATTTCCTGATAGTTACCCTCTATTTTTACAGAACAAGGCACTTTTTTTTACCATGTTGCTGCTTCGAGCTCTTAAGATTCTGCTATAGTCAGAGATAAACTTCTGCCCTGCCTTCTTCCTATTTATTAAAAAAGTGACTAAATAAATGTAGAGCATAAACGAGCTTTCAACATTAATACTTAGTGTACTTGACCCCTCTGTGATTTGCAGCCTCAAAGAACTGCTGAAGAGTCAGCTATGTGTCAGTCCTGACTCCAACGGCAGTGTGTTGGAGTTAGCCAGAGCTACTGAGAATCTACAGATTTTTTTAATCACTTGTACATGAAAGCCATTATCATTTTCCCAACTTAAAATCTTTTTCATTAAACCAGTTCCTTCATTAGGGAGCACTGGTGACTTAATGACAAGAAATTGTGCTGCCGATGAAAAGTTACATGTTTTGAACCTACCAGCTGCTCGCCAAGAGAACCGGACAGTCTCTTCACAAGAGATTTACTGCCTCTGAAAACCCGCTGGAGGGTCAGCTGTGGGTGGGTTTTGATTAAGGGGGATTACTGCAAAAGGTCAAGGACTGCATGCAGCATTCAATATGGATTGAAGCTCAACTTCAAGAAAACAAAGATTCTTACCACTGGGTCGATTGGCAGCATCTTGATGCATGGCGATGAGATTGAGATTGTTCACAGCTTCAGTTTGCTTGGTTCTACAATCAACACTCTTGGTACCAGAAGCCAGGAAATTAAAAGACGTATTGCCATGGGAAAATCTGCTGTCAGAGACCTCTCCAAAGTACTGAAGAGCAACAGTGTCAGTGTGGAGACTTAAGGTGCACCCGATACAGGCCCTGGTCATTGTAATTACTTGCTATGCATCAGAGAGCTGGACAGTGACTAGGAATGATAGAAGGAAAGTTGATGCCTTTGAGCTGTGCTGCTGGAGAAGAGTAATGAATATATCATGGACCGCTAGGAGAACTTAACAAGTTCGTCCTAGAGAGGGTGAAGCTAGGCTGCTCCTTTGGAGGCAAGGATTCTGAAGCTTCGTCTGATATACTTTGGACATGTTGCAAAGAGGGATCAGTCCTTGGAGAGGGGTGTTGGGTTTGGGAGGGTGGAGGGAGAGTGCAGGAGAGGAATACCTTTTAAGAGGTGGATTGATTCAGTGACTGGGGCAGTGGAGGTAGGTGTGTCAGAGACAGTGAAATTGGCACTGGATAGAGCAGAGTTTAGGGCTGTTCTACATAGGGTCACTATGAGTTGCAGACAACTCGATGGTACGTAACAACAACAGCTAGTTCTTCAGTTTAAAAATGTAGGCTTCATTGTTACATTGCTGCCCCATCACAGTCCTCATTAAGTGAACTCAGTGTTCTCTGAAATCTCACTTTATCTTGCAGATCAGTTCCCTAACTCATCTCAGAACGGGTCGTGCCGACAAGTGCAGTATCCGCTGACGGACCTGTCCCCCATTCTAACCAGCGGGGACTCTGATATTTCCAGCCCATTACTGCAAAATACTGTCCACATTGACCTCAGTGCCCTCAATCCAGAGCTGGTCCAAGCAGTCCAGCACGTTGTGATTGGGCCGAGCAGCCTGATTGTGCATTTCAATGAAGTCATAGGAAGAGGTAAGTATTTCCACTCAGCCCTTTGGTTCAATGCATTTTCCCAGTAAACGCTTTATCTCTGGCCTTTGCAGATTAGGAATTTAGACAATGGCAAAAGCTGCTACCAGAGCAGTGATTAACAAGCACACTGATTTCTGTAGAAGTACAGTCTGCATACCCCACCCAGCGGGACTTGCCCCTGTGCAGAGGGACAATTTGATAATGTCCCGAACACCTTGCCCCTGTGAAGAGGGACAATTTGATAATGTCCCAAGCACGTGAGGAATGAATTGCAGTCCTTTCCTCACCTTTTTCACACTGACAACTTTAGTTTCTCGCGATGCACTGTATGCTCCTTTTAAAGAAGCATTTCATCCTTTGAAATGCCAGGATCATTCCTCGCACCTCCCTCTAGTCTGTCTTTACCCTGAGAACAGCAGCTGCCCCTCTGCAGTCCTGGTTTATAGCAGCATGCGCACCGCTGGACAGCATCACAAGACGGGGAATTTATAGCATTCCCGTGATCGGAGGTAGCATATATCATCCCTACAAAGCACTTTCACTTCTTCACACGGAGAGAAATTTGTATTTGTAATAAGCCCTCCAAGGCATCAATAACAGCTACCATAAACAGTATATGAAAAAGTGCTTAGCAGGAAAAGAAAGCGACCAGAAGGGAAAACCATAGCTAGAAAATGAACTCTTTCTATAAAAGGCTTTTACTCCTTTACTGAATGGCCTCTGATCCCTTTTATTCTGTGTGTCCTGCAAAGGGCGGTACAGCATCTACTGGTGTGACGCTCAGGAAGCCAATGACACGATCTGTTCTCTCCGAACATGAGGTCTGCTCCTTTTTCCTGTAGACTCAGAGCCACACCTCCCTCCACCGCAGCCTCCAACCACTGCCTTTCACATGCCTCTCCTTCACTACTGCGGGGTCACACTTAACAAACATTTTTCCATGTCTAACACCAGAGTAATAGATGGATCCATCACCAGCCTATAAATCCTAGTAATTGCACCAGTTTGAGGGGGTGTGACCTCACTAATTACAGTCTAATGCTACACATGGTAAAATTTGCAATTTAGGCTTTGGTCACAAGAGGTGAAATGACAATGACTCCTTAATGAGTTTGTTCTCAAGAATGAGAACTGTTACTTATGTACATGTTTGCCACAGAAGAATGTGAGCACTCGAGGGCAGAGGCCTCGCTTTCCCTGCATTGCATTACACAGTGGTAGCCTGTTGCTTGGCACCCACAACCCCAGACACTTGGGGCATCTTGGCTGGCTGGATCACTGCATGATTGACTTACACAGCTATCAGACAGTTGGCACCTCCGGGGAAAATTATTACCACTGAGTAAAGAGCTGCCATTGAGAAAGTAATGAGGATAAAACCAGAGAGAATTGGGTAGAATGAGTCAAAGAGAATTGGCTCCATTTGGGCAGCTGCCTTTCCGTTTCTGGCCACCTGGATTATGTATTAACCAATGACTAACAGGGGAAATCCATATTCCATAATGCTAATCTTATTCCTAATAGTAACATTTTTCTTTCATCTCAGTTTATTAGAATCCAGGGAATTTACTTTCTTAAATTTTTTCGTCTGATCAGTGCTTTACTTTTCTATTTAAAAGCTATTACTTAATCCTTAAAAATAATTTTTTAATGAGACAGTTATTTGAGATGTTTCTTAGGGGATCCATCATTGTTGAATATTTTATGACTTTAGGCATTAATTTTGTTGTGTGCCATAAAGTCAGAACTGACTCATAACTGACCCTCCAGCAGGTTTTCAGACTGTAAATTGCATTGGAAGAGATTGCCTACCTTTTTTCCATAGAACAACGGGTGGATTTGAACCAGCTGCCTTTGGATTGGCAGCACAGCCCCTTACCCACTAGGCCACCAAAGCTCCCTGTGTATTCATTATTTAATACTGTGCATTATATAATAATAGCTTTTATTTCTTTAGTGAGGTGTTTGTAACCATCTGTATAATACCCATGAACACACAAACATTCTGAATCTAAGGTATATTATGTGTACTTTTTGCCATATTGGAAAATTGAAGGAATTGATGATAATAAGGGGTTTAATAAAGAATTACTGCATCGTTAAATGGATGCACATTAGACTACTACCTGAAAGCAGGGGAATGTGAAGCACCCAGCCCCTCCAGAAGCACTTCAGAAGACAAGGATGGCAGTCTGCTTCTAAGCTGCACAGCCTTGAACATCCTGTACAACACAGGTCTCCACACACCTGCCATCACCCTGAGTTAGATGCCATGACAGCCAGCAATAGCCATTTAGAGTAGGACAGCTGTATTTATACAGTGGAATATTATAAAACTGTTATGTTTTGATACATGCCACATGGAAACATTATGCTGAATAAAACATGCAAGATACAAAAGGGCAAAGACTCTGTCATCCCACTTAGATGAAATGCCTGAAAGTGATTTCATTAACCACTCATAGAAGTGGTTATGAGGAGCTGTTGTTGTTGTTGTGTTGTTATGTGCCGTCGAGTCGCTTGCGACTCATAGCAACCCTATGTACAACAGCCTTAAACTCTGCTCTGTCCTGTGCCAGTCACACTGCCTCTGACACACCCATCCCAGTTACCCCAGTCACAGAATCAATCCACTTCCTAGAGGGCCTTCCCCTCCTGTGCTGTCCCTCCACCCTCCCAAGCATGATGTCCCTCTCCAAGGACCGGTCTCTCCTTACAACATGTCCAAAGTATGTCAGACAAAGCCCCAGAATCCTTGCCTCCAAGGAGCCTCCCGGTTTAACCCTTTCCAGGATGAATCTGTTTACTTTCCTTGCAGTCCTTGATACTCTCAATACTCTTCTCCAGCATCACCACTCAAAGGCATCAATTCTCCTTCTATCCTCCTTGGTCACTGTCCAACTCTCTGATGTGTAACAAGTGATTGCAAAGACAGTGGCCTATATTAGGCGCATCTTAGTCTCCAGAGAAACACCATTGCTCTTCAGTACTTTGGAGAGGTCCCTAACAACAGACTTTCCCATGGCAATGCACCTTTTAATTTCCTGGCTACTGGTGCCAAGAGTGTTGACTGTGGAGCCAAGCAGACTAAAGCTGTGAACAATCTCAATATCTTCACCTTCCATCCTGATGCTGCCAGTTGGCCCAGTGGCGAGGAGCTGAGGGAGGGGCAAATGGGAAGTTGTTATTTAAGGGGTTGCCGAGTTTCTGATTAGAATGGTGTGGAACATTAAGTAATCTATAGCAATGATGGTGTATAACATGGCAAATGGAATTCAGGTCCACTTTAAAATTACTAAATGGCAAATGTTTTGCTGTATGTATGTTACCATAATATCTTTTTGACAAAGACAAGAGATGCAGCACTAACCAAATTTCCTCTTTGACGTAGGGCATTTTGGATGTGTTTATCATGGGACTTTGTTGGACAGTGATGACAAGAAAATTCACTGCGCTGTGAAGTCCTTGAATAGTAAGTCACTTTGGGTTGTTGGGGGTTCTTAAACGCTGGAGTACACTTTTGTGGCTTGCAGAGAAATAAATAGTTTATAATAAAATTTTGATTTTTCACTTTCCCTTGAGGAAAACTCAGCTACTGTTGGAATTATAGGCCTAAATCCTGAGAGCTTGTTTGGTCTGAACTCGTATTGAAATAATGCCTCTGATGTTATCCCACAAAAGCCTCACAAGTAAGGGTGTAGGGAAATGAGGTTTGGGGATGAGCAGAGTATCATTTAACTGTGTTTGGCTTACAATATTTGTTTTGCAAATGATATTTCTGGAAACTATTGGAAGCATGTTGGCACACACAGTCAGTAATGACTCATTTTACCCAGAGGCATTACTATAATTATTTTTTAACCACAATCCCCATTAAAGAGATAAAAAAAAAATGAAATAAGACCTTACAGGAAAAAAAAATGTTGGCAGAAAATTGAGAAATAGTAAGAGTGGTGGTACCTCATTTATCCACATTTTTGGGGAGTGAGGTGTTCCATGTAAGTGAATTTCCTAAATAACTGAAGCTTTTGCCTTTGTAATCCTAAAAATCCTCTCTAAAGCATAGGTTATATTGAGAGGCAAGGATTCTGGGGCTTCGTCGGACATACTTTGGACATGTTGTAAGGAGAGACAGGTCTTTAGAGAAGGACATCATGCTGGGTAGAGTAGAGGGACAGCGCAGGAGGGGAAGACCCTCTATGAGGTGGATTTATTCAGTGACTGGGGTACTCGGGATGGGTGTGTCAGAGGCAATGAGATTGGCACAGGATAGAGCACGGTTTAGGGCTGTTGTACATGGGGTCGCGATGAGTTACAAACGACTCGATGGCACATAACAACAACAACAATATTGAGAATTTTTCCAAAGAGTTAACAAACTCCATTTAAGAAAGAGGAATGCTTCCAGATATAAACTTGGCCTTTACTGATGACCCAGAGCTGTAATTAAGGTCATCATTACTGTATCGTGCACCCAATCAGCTCCATTTCCTAGCATTTCGCCGTCTTCCCCTGTGCGGACAGATCTCCTCAGGCACGTCAGTGTCCCTGCTGTTCCCACCATTTCATAAATTACTGCTAATAATTTGCAGCAGTCTAAAAAATGCTAATCAATTACACATTTGTGTCACTTGGAATTAGTAAAATTTTAAATACCCAAGTGGAAGATTTTCTGGCCAGTTGCATAATTGCCAAGAGCTCTGTCAGCCTTTCTTTATGTAAACCTCCGTGCTGAGTGCTCTTCTGTTTGATTGATTTTGTTGGAAATCTGATCACAATGTAATTAAAGGGAGAGTCTATATGAAATCTAACTACAAACTGTGTGATAGATTAAATATGACTCTCCGTAAATGCCCCAAGAAAGAACAGCACCCTGTCAATTCACTCAGAGCTCCACTAACACCGAGAACTGCATTGGTGCTTACTGGGACTGTGTGGACCGCCAGTGACTTTTTCAAGTATGCATTCTATTCATTTAAAACAAACAGACAAACAAAAAACCAGTATTATTGCCATCATCTGAGAGATGCTGGCCAGGTTACTAAATTAAAAAGAGTTGACTCTTCATCTGTCCTGATTAGTGGCAGCCTGAGCATTGCTATCTGGAAATTATTGGAAACAATTTTAAAAACCAACCACAAAACACTATTTAGATGCTGTGTGGTGATGAGTTTTCAGATTCTTCTAATCCAGAGGTTCGCAAATGGTTTGTCCACTGTCTGTTTTCACAAAGAAATAATCTTTACAGGACATACAGTGGATTATGTGTGGTTGCTTTCTTGCTGCAACAAGAGAGTTGAGTTTATCTAAATAAGACCCACTGCCATCAAATTCCAATTCAAAGTGACCCTTTAGGACAGCATAGACCTGCCCCATGGGGTTTTGCAGCCTGTAATCTTTATGGAAGCAAACTGCCACACCTTTATCTTGGGGAGTGGTTAGTAAGTTTATACTGTTGACTTTTTAATTAGTAGATGAACACTGAACTGCCACGCCACCAGAGCTGAGCAGATCCAACAACAGTTGTATGACTGGTACTTGCTCCAACAGCATATATACTAAAATTGGAACAATACAGAGAAGATTAGCATGGCCCCTGTGCAAGGATGACATGCAAATTCATGAAGCAGTCCATAGTTTACCTGGGAGGGACTGGAGAGCAGTATGCTAAGTGAACTAACTCAGTCCCATGAGGACAAATACTGTATAAGACACTTATTGTAGAAATAGATAACTAGTAATATGTGTGAAGATCTGAGGCGGGGAGGGTCAGAGCAGGGGGTGATGATGGACAGGGAGGCAATTATATGGTCACACAATTTGATGGTTGGGGAAAGGGGTCAGTAAAGGAAATGGGAAAGATCCGGTATGAAAAACAATGTATATGAACTTTGTAAGCAAACCAGCCTAAAATAAAAATTGTATTTAAAATAAAATTTTGAAAAGTTGTATGACTGACAAGCCAAAAATATTTACTATCTGGCTTTTTACAGGAAAAAATATTCTCTAGATAATAGCTAAGCTATAGAAATGGACTTGCCTAGTTTCCTCTCCCCGCTCTGTGTTAGACAAAGCGTGGTTCTGCCTGAGACAGCCTGATTGCTGGGCTCTTGATGAGGATGGATGCAGGTTGTGGCCTGAAGGCCTGGTGCACAGTGACATCATTCCCTCACATATACTATAAATGATTCTCTGAAGATGAGGTCTCAGGATAATATTTAGCCTCAGGGTTACGTTGCATAATAAAGTCACTATCTCCGCCTCTGGATTTCTCAGGAATCACAGACATAGAAGAAGTGTCCCAGTTTCTCACTGAGGGGATCATCATGAAGGATTTCAGCCATCCCAATGTTCTCTCGCTCCTGGGAATCTGCCTTCGGAGTGAGGGGTCTCCTCTTGTGGTCCTCCCGTACATGAAACATGGAGATCTTCGAAATTTCATTAGAAATGAGACTCATGTAAGTATATCACCAAGATGATTAAAACTGGTGGACCCCCAGTCGGTTTACCACCCAGACATTTAAAATACGTCTTTCCTGAACCTTTTCAGAATCTCTCAGCCAAAGACGCTGTATAAAAGTTTACATTGCTGAAATGTACAGAGGCTTATCTGATTCACTTGTACTTCAAAATCCTCTGTGCTTTCCAACTCAGTGGTACACAACAACAACAACAACAGCTCTAACAGTTTTAGAGTCAGCTGTGGGTTGATTTCAACTTGATGGTACACAGCAACATCAAAGTCCTCTATGCTGGTAGGAAAATAGGGACCCTTGAATGGGGACACTGATTCTTACAGACATCTTTGCAGTACGTTATAGATTCATTTAGATGTGTTTGAGTGCAAGAAACTGAACGAAGCACAGGAAAAACAGAGACAAGCCACCCTCAGCTCAGATAGACTTTTAGCCCTAGAGGTAAAAACAGTGAACCATTCATTACAAAAGGAGTCACTTACTGTTCTTCAGATTTGCCATGTATTCTCTTGCCTCAGGAATTTGCACATACTATTATTGGAAGCAGGAGTGGCATCCACTTCCTAAATAACTACCCTCCGGAAACTCTCTGAACTTTGATAAATGTTGATAGTTACAGAGAGGCTTCAGGCCTTTTGTTCATAAGGTCATTATGAGTCATGCTCGACTCAAAGGCAATAAACAACACAACAACATTGCTTCTTAAGACCTGGAGCATTCTTGCCCAAATATACCTTATCTCTTTGAGTTCTTCGCCTTACTAGTGACTTCGAAGAGATACTTTCTTGAGCCAGTTATTGATTATGAAAACTGCTGCCGATCCTTCGCTCAGACATTCATGTGTCCCTTCCCTACTTTATTTTCCAAAAATAAGAATACATTTTTATCTTCTACACTAGGCCTATGAACTACAGTCCTATGGCCACAAGCCACATGCGAAATGTCACTAATCCAACTTAAGATAATGCTGTAAGTTTAAAATACATCCCAAATTTGTAATATATTAAAAAAGACAAACTATTCATGTTACATATTATAAAAGTACTATTTTAAATATGTTTGATTGAAAAAATTAACCTTTCACCCTAGTTTTTACTTTTTAGTGTAGTTATTAGAAAGCTTTAAATGACATGATAGCTTGTGTTATATTCCTACTGGGCACCGCTGTACTCAACAATAATGAAATAGTAATTTATGAAAATGCATGCTGCGTGGGTGTTTGCAACCTCGCAGTTCCCTTGCACGTGTGTTCCCTGTGCACACAGTGCACAGTGATATGCTTGCACCAGATCTGCTAGTGTGTTATATGAGGAGATAAGGGGGAGGTGTGTAGGTCGGTGGAGGGTCAGCGAAGGAGAACAGATCCCCAGTGAGGTGGAGTGACACTGTGACTGCAACAGTGGGCTTAAGTGTGTCAGAGACGATGATGATGGCACAGGAAAGGACGCTGGTTCACAGGGTTACTATGGGCTGTGCTTGACTCAGCAGCCCTTAACAGCATATGTAGGTAGATACTTACGTCAGTGTGTGTATACACATAAATACATGCGAAGGCATGCTTATGAGAGTGATCATTTCTTCATGTTTTACTCATTTCAATAACTCTAGATAAAACAGCACTGCGTGTTTAGGCCTTCAGCAAGTATCTATTGCATGGTAGAACTTAGTGTGAGCAGAAAAGGTTCTCAAGCTTTTGTAAATGATGCTCTTAGTAACATTTGTACTAGGACCCAAAGGGTGAGGAAGCCTGACAGAGCCTAGGTGGGTGGAGGGAGGAGCCCCCACAACTGAAATCAGGGAGACCTCCGGCTGTTTCTTGGCCCTGCTTTCCAGGCCTCTGAGGGAGTTAATGACGTAGCTTTACTCTTCACCAGAAACTTTATAAAGTTGTTTGACCTCTATGAGGTCAAGTTCCTCATAGAAAACAAGGGAAATGTAAAGAAACATTGTGTTTTCAGCCAGAAGGCTCAGATAATCCCTGCCAATGGACTTGTGCAGATAAAGGAAATTACAAAATAGCCTGGCAGTCTCCACTCTCCTGCTGTGCCTCTCATTGTTACCCAGCGAGTTAATTTGATTGTATGTGCTAGTTCTCTGCTGTGGGAAGCAAGCATTGCTCTCCTGAGTTGAAGCATCTCTTGGGAGTGGACTCCCCCGGTCTCCTTAGGGAGCTCTGGTGGCTCTGTGAGAAGCTGTGCTGCAGCCTCGAAGGCCACAGGTTCCAATCCACCAGCTGATCCGAGGGAGAAGGATGGGAAGTCTTCTCCCATCCTGCCTCTGGAAACCTACTGGGAGGTCAGTTCTGACTCGACAGCAACAACAGTGACTATCTGGTACCGTCCTTTCATAACCCAAGAGTTTGTACTGACAGCTGTGGCTTGTCCCACAATCTGCGGAGACCCCACGCACAGTGGGGCAGAATGCGGCCAGGTCCCGCACCATCTCTATAATCACTTGTAAGTTGCACCATTGTGATCCGTAAGATCTTCATCAGCTACCATTTGGAAGTAGATTCCTGGGTCTTTTTTCCTAGAGTGTCTCGGTCTAAAGCTCCACTGGATCCTCTTCCACTTTCTAGCAACACTTAAGACTTCACTGAGAGACAAGAGATAGGTGGCTGTACATAAGTGCATTCTCTCCGAATCGAACCCAGATCTCCCACATCAAAGTCAGGAGTTCTGCCACTTGACCACCAAGTCCTCAGCTATGTTACCACTATCAGAGATGTGTCTTAAAGGGGAAAAGAAACGCAGTACTGACCTCTGCATTCATTGTGTGCATTAAAGGGTTGCAGCCCTTCCTGAAGAGCCCCACGGTCTCTATCCCCACTTCTTGGACTCATAGACCCCCACCGTGCCTGCTGGAGAAGAGACACTCTATTGCTGGTGGCATAGAGTCCCCAGGGCAGTGTTAGATCCTGTGCTTGTTGGTACTATCAGCATTTCTCTGGCCATCCAGTTTTGTGGATGGAGTTTGTGAAGAGGGGGTTTTCCTACTCTCTGAGAGGGTGCAGACTGCTGGAGTTGTGAGCCGCTGTAAGAAGTTTCCTGTGTATTTCCATATCTTGTCAAACCATGTGATCAATGTCTCTATAAGGTAGCTTTGGAGAGAAACAGATTTGGATTAAAATCCTGTCTTTCACACTTGGCAATCTGTCTTTGTGGTTTTGCAATGTATTTCCGTCTGGAAAATGGAGTTGATGGGACCTGCTGTATAGCAATGGCCATCTAATAACGATAATATATACAGATACCTTGGGCTTTGCAGAAACCAACTAGTTGCCACCAAGTCACCAACACTTCATTTCAACTCCATGTGGGTCAGAGTAGAACTCTGCTCCACAGGGGTTGGTGTGGTTGGTTTTTGGGTTTTGGGGGTTTTGTTTGTTTGTTTTTTTGTTTGTTTGTTTGTTTGTTTGTTTTTTGTGGGTTTTTTTTGGTTTTTTGGTTTTGGGTTTTTGTTTGTTGGTTTTTTTGTTTTGTTTTGTTTGGTTTTTTTTTTCAGAAATAGACTACAGATCTCACTTCCAAAGAACCTCTGAGTGGAATCAAGCCACCAAGCTTGCGATTAACCCAATGGTTCAGAAAGCATTTGTACCACTGAGGAATTCTGCACACTTGCTCCCAACCAAGAATGGTTAAAGTAGATGGCAATTCTTGGTGACTCCGGATGTGCCAGCACAGACTGCTCTCTCTACATTTTCTCAGAACTGTTCTTTTAGAAGTGGGTCACTAGATCCTGCTTCCAAGGGGCCTCTGGGTTCAGTTGCTATTTAATTAGACAGTTGATGTTAACAAAGGGGCACACATTGTTATTTAGACACAATAGCGCTTATAAACATTTCCGAATTCTGAGACCAGCTTTCAAACAGTATGTACCTAACTTGAACTTGTCCAAATCCCTTTGCTTGCAGAACCCGACTGTGAAGGATCTTATTGGCTTTGGCCTTCAAGTAGCCAAGGGCATGAAGTATCTTGCAAGCAAAAAGTTTGTCCACAGAGACTTGGCAGCGAGAAACTGTATGTAAGTATAAGAATCGAGCTCCAAATGAAGGGACATACTGGAATCTATTTCCCACTGATCAATGCTAGTTAGGGATTTGGGGTGTTCCTTTCTCGCTCAAGCTCACATGCTCTCTTCTCTTTTCTCTTGCAAAAGTCCATTACAGTTTTAAATTGATGTGCATGTACTGGAAATGTAGGTGGGGTTTTCAGACTTCATCAAACAGAGAAACTTGAAAGGCAGCCTCCACAGGGGTTCTTAACCAGCTGCTGTGCGTCCCCTTTGCCTGGTCCTTTCCATCAGCAGCCCCCAACATTGTGGTTTCACACTGCATTAATGTTTGGGAGGGAAAATTTGATCTTCAACATTTTACAGTGAAAAAGAGAGGGCTGGTAACACAAATACCAGCATGTTGTAACTTCCCAAGAGTAGACCTGAAAAGCCAGGCTGCCTAAGCCCTACCAAAAATGGTATTTGGGAATGAATATACAAAGAGCTGTATTTGTGTCTGGCTGCCCAAGCTATGTAAGCCAGCAGCCACGAGTTTGTAATTGATTCAGCGCTTTCATTGGTATGGTGCTGATTCAGAACTTATGGTATGTGTTAATGAACGCACTGTGCTCTTAACTTCCTACCTTTTGGGCAAATGTAACAGCGTGGAAGCCTGTTTCAACAAAGAAGGCAATGCCTGAGGTAGAGGAGGAAATGGGTTTTTATTGAGCCTTGTTTTTCTCAGGTGCTTTTATACAAGTGTTCAGGTCTTTAGTTCATAGAGTCGCCAGGAGTCATCTACAACTCAATAGCAACTTAACAACAACAAACATACTATATAGCCTGTTGCTCCATTATCTCAATGATTAATTCAGTTACTGAGTCAGTCTGACTCATAGGAACCCTCCATTGTGTTTCCTCAGTCCTAAGTCTGTACAAGAGGAAACTGCTCATCTTTCTCCCACAGAATGCCTGGTGGATCAAACTACTGACCTTTCAGTTAGCAGCCCTACACGTAACACATGATGCCGTCAGGGCCCCACTTGAGTGATGGTATTGTTCTTAGGTGCCATTTTGATTCTGATTCTTAGTGACAATAGGTCAAAAATCTGTCCAATCTGGTGCCATCCTCCCAGTCTCCCCTCAGCCAAAGCTCATCGCTATGGTCACTGTCTTGGTCTGTCTTGCGGAGAGTCTTCCTCTTCTTTGTGGCTTCACCCTTTCCCAAGCATGGTGTTCCCTTCCAAGGACTGGCCTCTCCTGACAGTATAACCAAAGTGTGTAGACAAAGTTTCACCACGCTTGCTTCTAAGGAACGCTGTTGCTGACGCAGTCCCGATTGGACTCAAAGAGTCTTTGCCTTTTTATTCTGCTAAACAAGTCCTTGGAACAGACATGTGGATGAGCACACTTTATTTTCACCTCCAGGAATTCAAAAGGAGACAAAGATAAGCATCATTAAAAAAAATGCCAGGGGGAGGGGTGGGCAGGGAGGAAAATGTGCAGCAATGAATGAATGGAAGGGAAAAATTAGATGGAAAGATTATGCTGTAAAAAAATATATGTTGCATTAAAATAATCATTAATAAAAAAGGAAAAATAGGTCATTTTGAGGTAGTATTAAGTTAAGGAGGGAGCGGGGAAGGCTCGTATTTACTTAAGCACTTGTAGAAAGGAAAGGTGAGGTTATCTTAGAAAAGGACACACACACACACAACCAGCCTTCAAGATCGAGTCTGTCCGGTCGGATGTGTTGTCCTCACGGGACACGCACACAGGGCTCCTCTTTGTGGCTGCTTTCTCTAGAAGGTCATACAGTGGTTACTGATTTTTGCTTCTGCACCTGCATGGCATCTGAAACTCTTTTTTGATAACTTAGAGCAGGAGTTGTCATAAAGGTAAAAATGATCAGGAAGAAACACCTGGGGCTGCCTGTCTTAGCTGAATTCTGGGGCAGCTTGTGAAGGGCTTGCCAGGGCCTGGCCATAAACAACTTGCCAATCTCTAAACAACCTTCTTGATCTCTGCACTGTGTGAGAAGGAAAATACTGACTCTGTAAAGGCATCTGACTGCATGAACCATAACAAAACCATGGCTCACATTGGGAAGAATGGAAATCCCAAAATGCTTCATTGTGCTCGTGTGAAATATATACCTAAATCAAGAGGTGATCCAAACTGGGCAAAAGAAGACTGCATGCTTTAAAATCAGGAATGGGGTGTGTGGGGGTGTTTGTGTTTGACATGTATCCTTTCTCCATACCTATTCAGCCTGTCTGGTGAACAAAGAATTCCCATGAATCTGGATTCTGTGAAGCAGAATGTGGCACCAGGAGATCAGGGAAAGACCCATTAACCACCTGTGTTATGTAGATGACATAACCTTGCTTGCTTAAAATGAGGAGGACTTGAAATGCTTGCTGCAAGGTATCAAAGATTACAGCCTTTGGTATGGATTATATCTCAACATCAAGAAAACAAAAATCCTCACCCATGGACAAAAAGGCAACATCATGATGGATAAAGAAAGGATTGAAGTTGTCGAATTATTTCATTTTGCTTGGATCAATAATCAGCAACCTTGGTACCAGCAGTCAGATCAGGAGACATATTGCATTGGGGAAGTCCACTATCAGGAATGGCTCTAAAATACTGAAGTGTAAGGATGTCAGTTTAAAGAGTAAGGTGCACCGTATTCAGTCAGTGGACTTTTCAGTCACTTGCAACACATTTCAGAGCTGGACAGTGAATGAGGATGAGAGAAAAAAAAGAAGTGATGCTTTTGAGCTCTGGTGTTGGAGAAAAGTACTGAATATCCGACAGACTGGCCAAAGAACATACAAAATATGTCTTGGGAAAAGTACAGCCAGAATGCTCTTTGGAGGGAAAGGTGGTGAAGCTTCGTCTCTCTTTTGGCATGTTGCTTGGAGAGGCCATTCCTTGGAGAAGAACATCATGCCTGGAAAGGTAGAAGGTCAAGGAAAGAGACAGAGATCCTCAATGAACTAGATTGACACAATGACTACAGCTTTGGGCTCAAGTGTATCAGAGATTGTGAGGATGGCACAGTCTAGGACAGAGTTCAGACCTGTTACTTATAGGATTCCTGTGATTCATTTTTTTTCCTGATAGCACTTAACAATAAGAACAACTTAATATAAAAATTGTATTCTGATTGTTATATAAAAATGAAAAGAAAACAGAAAGTTTGTGATAGGAGAAAAGCTGACAAGATCTAGTTATCACTGCTAGAAATGGTTTGCTGCCTAATTGTTTAAAAAAAAGACAGGTTTCTTTGATAGAGGCTGGAAGAGCGTATAGATGCTTAGGATTTTTCAAGAAAGGTTAAAAGAAAGCTATAAGTGTCAGGAAGATTTGTTTTGTTTTTTATTTTGTTTTGTTAGAATGAACATAACATGATCGATGAGTCAGGAGAGAAGGTTGAGGTGTTTATTGTGTTAGCCTTGATGTTGGTGGCCGTATTCTAAGACTAGTGTTCTCCAAATTTAAGATACAGTTGAAGAAACTTGCTGAAATAATTGCTTTGGCAGTTTTAAAAAGGAGAGTAAAGTGTGAGGTGTTGAAGATGGCACTAGGACTTCTTGTTTCTGTGTGCCAGCAAGTCAGAATCGACTCATAGGTAACCCTCCAGTGGGTTTTCAGAGGCAGTTAATTGTGTAGGGAGAGATTGCCCATCCTTGTCCCATGGAGCTGCTGGTGGATTTGAACTGCCTGTCTTCAGGATTGCAGCACACTTCTTACCACCAAGCCTCTAAAGGACCCTGTGAACGATAGATCTGAACTTTACTCTATCCTGTGCCCACCTCACTGTAATCTCTGTTCTGCTTGAGGCCATTGTTACAGTCACAGTGTCAGTTCCTCTTGTTGAGGTTCAGGGTCCAGGTCAAAATACTGGGAAGGAGCTGTGCAGTTTCTGCTAATCATATGTACTGTGTGTCTGGCTGAACCTCTTCTGAGACAGATTTGTTTGGTTTTGGCAGTCCATAGGACATGCAGCACTCTCCCCCCACACCACAATTCAAAGGCATCACCCTGACATCACCATGGAGTAGCCCTGGTACCTTAGCGGTTAAATCCTCAGCCGCTAACCAAAAAGTCAGGGAGCTCAGGTGGCCTAGTGGCAAGAAGCTGCACTGTAATCCCTAAAGCAAGCAGTTCAAATCCATCAGCTGCTCCGCGGGAGAAGGATGGGCAATCCCCTCTCATGTGATTAACTGCCTTTGAAAACTCACCAGAGGGTCAGCTGTCTGCCTCTGAAAACACGCTGGAGGGTCAGCTCTGGATCGGTTCCAATTCAATGGTACACAACCAAAAGGTCAGCATTTTGAAACTGCCAGTTGTTCTTTGGGAGAAGATTCTAGCAGCATGTTCCTATAAAGAAAGATTACAGCCTAGCAAACCCAGTTGGTGGTTCTGCTCTGTTTTTCAGGGATGTTATGGGTCAAAACTGACTTGTCAGCACACAACAGCTTAACTGGTCAGAATGAATAGAGAAAGAACCAGTTCCCTGCCGAGTGGCTCCCCACTAACCAGACTTGCTCATAAGTTCACGAGTGAGGACCGAAGATTCCTTTGTGTAGTCGGCTGACATCCTCTTCTCTCCTTTCATCTCCTGATTGGACGTCTTGCTTCCAGTCTCCTGAGATCATTTTTCATGACTAGGCCAGGCTGTCGTCTAATCTGATCCCCACACCCCACCCCCATCCACTGCAACACGTAGAGGATGCATTCCAGACTCCTTGTTGTGGGTGGTACTCCTTTTACCAACCAAGGAAAAGTGAGATGGGGAACCAGTTTTACAGTTTCTCCAGGTCTACATATTAAAGTGAAAAGCATTTTCTTGCGCTGGGTCGTTCATAATCCCTTTCCTGGGCCTGTCAGAATTGTCATATAAATGTCAAGCACTTTTGTTTAAGAATTCCATTGTAATTTACTGTTAGTCGATAGAGGCCTGAGAAAGCACGCCTTGCAGAGTTGTGGATGTCAGATGCTGAAGTCACAAGGATGTTTAGAATTGCTGTAAACCATTCTGTTTCAAGCACCTGTAATAATTGTCGTTCTTTCTCTAGGCTGGATGAAAAGTTCACTGTCAAGGTTGCTGATTTTGGTCTGGCCCGGGATATGTATGACAAAGAATACTATAGTGTCCACAACAAAACCGGTGCCAAGCTGCCAGTGAAGTGGATGGCTTTGGAGAGTCTGCAGACTCAGAAGTTCACCACCAAGTCAGATGTGGTAACGTGTCGATCGTCTCTTCTTTTTCACTGTTGTTTGTCGCTAGGTCAGCCCCTAACTCACAGCAGCACCCTGCACAGTGGAAGAATTGCTCTCTGGCCCAGTGTCATTCATGTCATTCATGATCAAGTGAGGATTTTTCAGTTAAGTTTTTTTGTTTGGTTTGGGGTTTGGTGTTTTTTAAGGTGTTATTTTATTTATTTTTTTTTATTAGTTTATTTACAAAATTCCAATAAAATTCGAACAAATTCTTTCAATTTCCCTCACCTGCTACCCATCAAATTGTACAATCCAGTGATTAATCCCCTCTTTCCCCTGCACATCCACATCCCTCTGCTTCCAGCCTCTCCCACCCCTCACGGATCCTTATACTTATTCTACAATAATGGTCTTACACAATATTTATCCTTGTGGGACTGAGTTAGTTCACTCAGCATAATGCTCTCCAGTCCCTCCTAAGTTAGGTAATAATTTACAAAGTTATTGCTCCTGTGTGCTGCATAGTATTCTGTTGTGTGATTGTGCCATAATTTCTCAATCCATTCATTTGTGGTTGGACATTTGGGTTGTTTCCATGTTCTTATGATGGTGAGTAATGCTGTTATGAACATTGGTGTGCAAAATCTCAGTTTGTGCCTCAGCTTTCATATTCTTAGGGTATATTCCAAGTAGTGGAATAGTTGGGTCATATGGAATTTCTATGTCAATTGGGTTTTGAAATTTTCAGTTTTCACTTGGATCCTAGGGGTTTCATTGGCTGACTTTCAGAAGAAGATGACCAGATCTTCTTCCTAGATCTTCTTAGTCTGGAGGGGCTGCTGAAGCCTGTTTAGTATGAGAGCAACCAGTGAGCCTCCTCTAAGAGATAACGGCAGCACTTGAGATGCATGGCCAGGAACTGAACCAGGATCTCCCAAATGGAAGGCAAGAACTCTACCACGAACCACCACTGCTTCCCAGTCTCTTTAGTAACTTACTTTCTTTTTCTTTCTTTCTTTTTTTTTTTCCACATTGGCCTCAGGTAAATCCCAACTCTCTTTTTCAAACAACTCAGTGCCACTAATTTTACGTTTAGTTTTTTTCAAATATAGAAATGTGCTTGGCTGACAGGCAGTACGTTATCATAAATATGCATTCATGTATTTTAAAATTTTTGTCAAGGAGGGACACCATGCTGGGTCCTTAGCAAATTCAGTGCTAATTGGGCGCAAACCTTCACCTCCATGAGTTTTGGTTTCAGAAGACCAGAAGACATGCTCATCAATGACTAGACATAAAATGGGCCAAGGCTACCTGAACCTCTCTCATAGACAGGGCTGCAGGAATCCCCGCTAAGAATGTCAGGAAGATGGATTAGGAATTAAGGCTGTTATTACCCTTGGCTCCTTGCTAGAACTGTGCCCTTTCATTATCCAAAGGCCCGTGTCTTCCCATAGCACAGCCTTCAGAAAACAGACTGAATTAACTGGACAGCCAAACCCACTAAGTTCCTCACACCTTGTGAAAGAGAAGATGTTTCAAGACAGCAGGCCTTAAAAGATAGCAGGTTCAGGATCAGTGGTTGTGAGGACAAGAGAGGAAATGAAATAAGAAATGCAAATCCAGGTGAGGCAGAGGGCAAAGACGGCATGACCATCTTTGACATTCTAAGGTCATGTTGTTGTTGATTGCCATCGAGTTAAGTACAACTCATAGCGACCCTATAAACAAGAGGCCTGAAACCCTTCCACAACCAAACTGTAAAGTGAGGTTGTGAGAAATACATGAAGAAGAGAATATATCTGTACTCTATTATAGAGTCCTTGTGAGCCCCCATAAGGAATCCAGAAAGTGTTCCCTGTGAATGGCAGCCCTGAAGTGTAATCAGATTAGATTACAACCTTGCTTTGTTCTGTAAAATTATTTGAGAAGAATGAAGGTAAGAAGACCCATCGGGAGATGAAATGAGAGGTAGAAGGACTTTAATTAATACAGGAACTATGAAAAAGACGAGAAGAGTCGTTCCCTTAGCGGTAGAATCATCAGTATTTACAATGATTAATAGAAATCAAAATTGAGGAAAGTTATCTGACGGAGTAACAAATACATGAAACACAGAATCAAAGTAGGTTCGAGAAGGAAAGAAGAACAGGCTTGAACATACTGAGTTTGACTTGAGATTGGGACATCTAGGCGGAGGCCCAGTGGGCAATTTGAATATGAGTTTACGGCGTATAAAAAGGCTGGGGATGCACAGATTGAGTCCAAAAGCAGTTGTGTAAGAAGAAATCTGTCTCAGAGGAAGGGCAACTGTATGCTCCATAGAGACAAGGATGGTGAAACTTCGTGTCAGATACTCGGGGCATGTTGTCAAGAGGGCCAGTCCTTGGAAAAGGGCGTCATGATGGCACAGGTGGAGAGCCAGAGAAAGAGGAAAAGTAGAAGACCTTCAGGATTGGTTGACACAGTGACAGTCACAGTGGGCCAGGGCGTGTCAGAGATTGAGGATAGCTCAGGATAGGGCGAGATTCAGATCTGCTTTTCACAGGGTCGCTGTGCCTTGTAATCGACTTGATGGCACCTGACCGCAACATATATGAAGTGAGAGAAGAAGAGGCTTTGAAAAGACAGAGGGGTAAGCAGAGAAGTACAACACTCAGGAGAAAAGACTGTCCTGAAAGCCAGAAGAGAAGAAGGTTTCGGGCAGAAATGGGTGGTGTGTGGCGTGCACTGCTACTAAGTCCCGAAAGCTGGGTGTCTGGAGTGATTCGGAGATCTGGAGTACTCTGGGTGTTGAAGCGAATGCAGAGAACACCAGTCATTCTGTCCCCATGTAAGGAGGGAGAGAAGTGTGATGTCTGGGCATAGGGAAGCATTGATGCTTCGGGCCTTGAGGGATAGCAACAGGAACAGGAAAAAAGCAAACAAGGTGGGCATCAACTAAGGTTAAAAGAGGGCATGGACTTCTAAAGAAAAGGGTTGGCAGCTATTAAAAAGTGACAGGAAGACGTGCATCTGAATGCGATGGTGGGAAGCAAGAAGTCTTCTCATCCTCCCATGAGTCAGAAAGAATGGGGGAGGGTGGCCTCTACTGGGAAGCATTTCAAAGAAATTCTTGTCTTCAAGTGAAAGCTGAGATTCTGTTTTAGTGAGGAGGTGGGGGAAAGATGATGGAATAACTTGAGGGTGGAGGGCAGTTTGTTCTAGTGAATAAATGAGCTCGAGGGAGATGGGAAAGGAATAGGGCTTGAGCATGGAATGGATAGGAGGGCAGAGAAAATGAAAAAGTGATAGTTTACGCTAGAGCCAATGACGAGGGATCAGAGAAACAAATAAGAAGTGGCTGTTAGAGAAATGGGCTGGGGACTTAGTGGTGGTGGCAGGCGAAGTCATAAGGCAGGAAGAATTCACTCGTTTTCAAGAAGCACTCTGTTCATTAAGACTTGATTGCGTTTGTGCTACTAAAAACCAGAGTCAGTCCTTAGAACTCAGTAAGAAAAAAATAAAATAGGTAAATAGACATTGTACCAAAGAGATGTATGAATAGCTATTAAGTTCATGAAAGATACTCAAGATCATTAGTCATTAAAGAAAGAAATAAAAAGCTATGTTCACATCAAGATTTGCACTTGAATGTTCTCAACAGCATTAGTCATAATAAAACTAGGAGCAGTGCACAAGTCCATCAACTGGTAAACAAGACGTGGTATATCCAGTGGAATGATAGCACTGGGCAGTGTTCAGGAACTATCGATGCTTGCCACAGCATGGATAAACCTCAAAACCCCTATGTTAGTGAAAGGCAGCAAACTCAAAAGATTCCATGTTCAATGATTTCATTCATAGAAAGAGGCAAAGCACTAGAAACAGAAAACAGATCAGTGATTGTTTGGGACTGAGGGTGGGACTGACCACAAACGGGCTAAGAGAACTACTGAAAATGATCTAAAACTGGACTGTGATAATGGCTAAATAATTGCATGAGCATATGAAAAAGAATCAACTGTTTACTCTTGAGTCAGTGAATGTTATGGTCCACGAATTATACCTCATTGGGGAAAAATAGAATCTGACAAATTTGGGGTTGCCCAACGCACCCACGCATACCCTGCCCTCATTTGGACACACATACACATACACGGCACCAGGTCTAGGGCTTCTCGCCTGGCCTCAGTTGTTCAGTTACAGGATTGGACATTTCTAGAGGCTTCTGCAGGTAGAACGGTAATATTTTCCCTCCCTCCCATTGAAATACATCATATTGCACTCCATTTTAAGGGAACCAGAGTAATCCATACACAACGCTGCTTTGACAAATGGTCATTGATTTCGTGGATAAATTAGCATCGAGTTTCACTTCCATGAGAGCCCAGTCTTTTGAATGCTGACTTGGAGCATTTCCCAAAACATGTAATAATAAGTTGTGTGTATGCTAAGAACTACAGGCAAGAACTTGCCTATTTGTACGTGGGTCTGCTTTCTTGCAGGTGCCCAGGTGGACTTGGGCTAAAGTCTAAATGCTCCTCACGCCCAGTCACACACAGTAACACAATTCAGGTGCCGTTCCATCTCAGTTACACAAACCCTGTGTCGTACCAGGTCTCACATGTATACCAATGCTTTCTTCCCAAATCTGTGTTGACTTCGTGGCTCAGGTCCATCTGGCTTTGTGATCTCATCCAGTTTCCTCAGACCTGTCCCCATTTCACACTGTTGACCACCTCTTCCTTCAAATGTCCTCTTCTTTTCATTTCTGGGACCTGGCACCATCTGGTTTACCTTTTCGTTATATTTTCTTAACCCTTGACTGGATTCTTTACATTCTCTCACCCACAAAGGTTGTTGTTGTTGTTGTTGTTGTTGTTGTTATGTGCCGTCGAGTCGCCTGCGACTCATAGTAACCCTATGTACAACAGCCCTAAACTCCGCTCTGTCCTGTGCCAATCGCACTGTCTCTGACACTCCCATCCCAATTATCCCAGTCACTGAATCAATCCACCTCATATTCTCTCCTGTACTGTCCCTCCACCCTCCCAAGCATGATGTCCTTCTCCAAGGACCGGTTTCTCCTCACAACATGTCCAAAGTATGTTAGACGGGGCCTCAGAATCCTTGCCTCCAAGGAGCCACCCGATTTAACCCTTTCCAGGACAAATCTGTTTGTTTTCCTAGCAGTCCATGGTATTCTCAATACTCTTCTCCAGCACCACAGCTCAAAAGCATCAATTCTCCTTCTATCCTCCTTGGTCATTATCCAACTCTCTGATGCATAACAAGTGATTGGGAAGACCAAAGCCTGTATCAGACGCACCTTAGTCTCCAGAGAGACACCATTGCTCTTCAGTACTTAGGAGAGGTCCCTAAAGCAGACTTTCCCATGGCAATGCGCCTTTTAATTTCCTGGCTGCTGGTGCCAAGACTGTTGACTATGGAGCCAAGCAAACTAAAGCTGTGTACAATCTCAATCTCTTCGCCATCCATCCTGATGCTGCCAATTGGTCCAATGGTGAGAATCTTTGTCTTCTTGACATTGAGCCTCAATCCATATTGGAGGCTGCAGTCCTTGACACTCTGCAGCACGCGCTTCAGGTCCTCTTCAGTTTCAGCAAGCAGGGTTGTGTCATCCGCATAATGCAGGTTGTTGATAAATCGTCCACCAATCTTGACCCCACATTTCTCCTCATAGTGCCCAGCCTCCTGGATAATCTATTCTGCATATAGGTTGAAAGGTATGGAGATAGGATGCATCCCTGGCGCACGCCCTTCCCAATTTTGAACCATGCAGTGTTCCCTTGCTCTGTTCTGACGACTGCCTCCTGGTCCAAGTATAAGTTTCGCATTAGAACGATCAAGTGTTCTGGAATTCCCACGAAGGTAGCTTCCCCTGAAGGACTACAGTCCCTGGGATCCTGCCTCCGGCAACAGTTGCAACCATCCCCACCAATAATCACCTTTGTGTGTCTACCTGGATGTTTGCATCTCATCGTAAATTGACTGTGTCCAAAGGCCAACTCCTGCCTGCCAATCCGGCAGTTCTTCATGTCTTTATTTCTGATAATGACATCACCATTGTGCAGTTTACCCACACTTCAACCTTTCAAATGGGCATTCATGAGAGATAAATATATATAAGTAATTTATATATGTATATAATTTATATGTAATATATAATTTATATATATAATTTATATTTATATATATGTATAAGTATATATAAATATATACAGTTATGCAGCCTCTACCACAATCCAGATAAGTAATACTTCTATCCCTTCAGAAAATGTCTGTGTGTCTCTGTGTCGTCAGCCCAGTCTGTCCCCTGTCCCTGGCAATCACGGATCACTATTTACCTTTATTAAAATGCCATTTATATGGAATCCCACAGTAATCATACAGCATTTCCACTCTGGCTTTTTGTCTGTCCATTTACCAGTTGAAGATGACTTAGGTTCATTCCAGTTTTAGGCAATTACCCTTTAAACTTCTATGACATTTGCTTAAAGGATTTTATGTCAATATAAGTTTATCTGTTAGATAAATATCTAGGAGTAGGATTGCTGAACCATAAGGTAAGTTAATGAGAAACTGCCCAACTAGTTTTCCCAAGTGACTGTATTATTTTGTATCCCTACCAGCAATACATTTAGGAGTTCCAGTTTTGGGAACCCTTACCGCCACCTGGTATTTTCAGTGTTTTGGGGTTTTAGCCATTGTAGATAACTTGTAGGGGCAATCCCAAAGGCACAGGCCTCAAAGCCACCTGCTGCTTGACAGGAGATGGATGGGCAATCTCACATGCAATTTACTGCTTCTGAAAATCCCCTGGAAGGTCAGCTATGAGTTGGTTCTGACAGCACAGCACAGAACAACAGTGTGAAACAAATACATACTGCTTTCAGAGAGGCTCAGGCTCCAGTGGGATGTTTACTACATGGGCGCTTTAGCTAGCTAAGCCAAGACGATGAAGATGGCATAGGACAGGACAGAGTTCAGATCAGTTGTTCATAAGGTCACTTTGAGTTGTAGTCAACTCAATGATGCCTAACAACACCAACCTGAAACAAACTGTCCCTACCATCCAAGTCCCACTGTGCTGTCACTTTCTTCACAATGTCTTCCTCAGTTTCTTAGTATTATCTCTGTGACTTTTCATAACTGTATCCCTGTTTTACAGCAGTGTTTTTTATTACAGCTATTACTTAACTACTCTAAATGACAGTTATTTGCATAATCCTCTTACTCCGCTAATTCAGCCTCATAACTCCTCCAGTACCTGGGAGAGTAGCCTGCTTATCCATGACCTAAGCTCATGAGATGTTCCTTCGGTTGAGTTATATTATACTGTACATTCTGCAGAATGCAGCTTCACCCAGTGGAGTTATCAAGAGTAGCAAATAAAATGTTCACACTTTGAAAACCTTCATTTCAAAAGGCTGAAGAAGGCAGCCAAAGTTGTCTCCCATCTGGAGAGGGATTGGTTTCCTTTCTTGGATGAAGACGGTTCATTCCAACTGATCACAATCCCAAGTGTCAGAGTAGAAACTCTGCCATAGGAGTTTTTTGAAAGTAGATATCCAGGCCTGTATTCTAGAGTCTCTCTGAGAGGACTCGAACTTCCAATCTTTTTATTAGAAGCCAAGAGCATTAGTCATTTGCACCATCCAGGGACACTTGGGCAAAGGGAAAGTGCCCTTAATGGAAATAAATATCAGCAACTACAGTAACTTCCTGGTCTCTTCAGTGTCAATGTCCAAGACACTCTTTGTGCCCTTGTGTTGAGCATAGAAGCTACAAATGGATGTCATTTTATGTTTTCCTGTGATGCCTGTTAATTTAATATCCTCCTTCAGACTATTTTATCAGTCGGAGCCTCATTTCTCCACCATATGCTTCCTAGACTGGAAGTGTTAAAGAAGTATTAGTAAGCAAGAACTGGGGGCCTGGGTCCTCTGCACAGGATTGTTATTATTGTTACATGCTAAACTACCTACCTCAGAAACAACAAATCAAAGCCTTGCACATTCTGAGCCATTCTCACGGTCTCGGCCACGTTAACGCCCGTTGTCTCAGTCAGCGTATCAGTCCATCTTGTTGAGGGTCTTCCTCTCTGTTACTGTGTCATATCACATGTCTTGTTGTGGGCCTCCTTTATTGCGGGAACCCCGTCTTACTCCAAGCATGTACCGGGGTACTCTGTAAATGCAGCCTACCATCGTATCGTGTCCTTCCCACTTAGGCACACGTCCAGGAGTGAGGAGACCCGTCACCTGATCGTGTCTCAGAAAATAAAAAACACCTGTGGTCCCTAAGTCAGTTCCTGCTCATAGCAGCCCTAAAACACAGAGTAGAGCCGCCCCATGGGGCTTCCAACATTGTAATCTCTACAGAAGCCGACTGTCACATCATCATCCTCCCAGGGAGAAGCTGGCGGGTTCAAACCACCAGCCTTTCAGATTCCAGCTGAGTGCTAAACCACTGTATCACCAGGGCTCCTCTCCTGTTTTGAGCAGAGTGCTTTAAATCAAGAAACTGCGTGTTTGCTGAAATGCAAAAGGCTAATAAGCAAGACCCAAGAGTGAGGAGCATTTAAATGTTTATCCCTGTGTGAATCCAGATTTATTGAGTCTTTTTACAAGTCATCCACCCTCTCCATCTCACTATTAACCGCCCTATAAAGTACTGATACAGCCGTTTTATATTAATAGGCTGTGTTCACATTACAAAATTGAAGTTGTTTTACTGAAATTACTTTCCAATGAAGAGGTTTTGTTGCCTGGCCATTTTATTATTACTGATTTTTATTTATACTGGCTTTAACGTTTAGCGTTTACATATGGTTACATTTGCTAAACACTATTTCCATTCATTTTTAAATTCTACAGCTTTAAAATTTTTTAAAGCTTTCCCTTATCCTCTTATTTTACTGAATAATCTAAACTTGAAGCTATTAGAAGACGAGAAAAAAAATGTTAGTATTTTAAACCTAAAAAGAAAGCTTGGGGAATATAATCTAAAAATTACAGATGCATCTTAAACATCAGGTTCTCAGATGCTTTTCCTCGATCCTTTACACTAATTTATAATCTGAAATTTATCACATTCTCGTTTAAATAGGTCAAAAAATTCATATTCATGGCTGTTGAGTCAGAACTGACTCAGAGCTGACCTTCCAGCAGCTTTTCAGAGGCTGTTGTAACTCCCTGGAAACACCTGGTGGATTCAAACTGCCTGCTTTGAATTGGCAGCCTGACTCCCTGTCAGCTGCCCCCAGAGATCCCTCATAAAATCCACATACAGAGTGGCACAATATAACAACAGTATTGAATATGGTAAGGCAAGTGAAGTCCCTGGGTGTTGCAAATGGCTAATTTACTCAGCTGTCACCTGCTAATTAACAAATCAGGGGTTGGAATTCACGCAGAGAATTCTCAAAGCAAAGTCCTGGTGATCTGATTCTAAAACCAATGGGCCGCAGGAAACTCTGGCACACATAGGATAGGATCGCCGGCAGGACCTGCTGAATAAGGTGATGTCTTGTAATTGGGCCATCGTGTGTCCTCACCCAGATCTTGACCTTGTTTTCCTAGTGGTCCTTCGGTGTGCTGCTCTGGGAACTGATGACAAGAGGTGCTCCCCCTTATCCTGATGTAAACACCTTTGATATAACCGTGTACTTACTGCAAGGAAGAAGGCTCTTACAACCAGAATACTGCCCGGACCCCTTGTAAGTAGCCGGCCCACCAGAATCAACTGTGTCTTTTACCATCTTTGCTTTTACCGAAATGCTTGTTTTCAGAGCGGCCCTCACAGCGTTTCTTTTGTTCTGAAACAGATATGAAGTGATGTTGAAATGCTGGCACCCGAAAGCTGAAATGCGTCCATCCTTTTCTGAACTGGTCTCCCGGATCTCCACGATATTCTCGACTTTCATCGGGGAGCACTATGTCCATGTGAACGCCACTTATGTGAATGTCAAGTGCATAGCTCCATATCCTTCTCTCTTGTCATCCCAAGACAATGGGGATGGTGATGTGGACACCTGAAGGAGACTCAGCCCCTCCTGAGGAACGTCGCAGTAATAGTTCAAACAACAGTCCACATTTTGTCCATTTATTTTTCACTGCCAGGCTTGTTTAAGGCCATCAAATATTTTTTTTTTTTTGCTTTTGCCAAGATTGCACTATTGTAGGGTTTTATGTTGCTATTTGAAATGACTGAAGGTCTCAGCTGACAACGCATCAAAATCAGTCAGTGGCACTGGAGGCTGAACCCCACGGGCCAGCTCTCACAACAGTAACACTGTGATGATACCCCATCACATTGGACGCCAAGACGTGGATTGTGTCCTGAAATGAACATAACTGGAAAATTAATAAAATCAGGGTCCCGCCTGCTTTTTTATGGAGAACTGAAACAATGAATTGTGACAACTTGTTGGTCACAGTATTTCAGAAGTGGTAGCGATGTCCAGGACAAAACTGGCAGCCCATGGACCAGACCCCTTTGCTTCCAATTCCAGTGTTTTAAAGACCTTGTGCATGTCTGTGGTCACTAACCTGTTTTCATTGTAATATGGTCATTTGCCTGCAAGGTGTACATTCCCTTTTGAATTTATTTTTTTTTTATTGCACATTCCTTCTGTAAGTGAAATACCTGTAAACAAGGTGCGGAGCTCAAAATAGCATGGGGAAAAAATGTGATTTTCTAAATTACTAAGGGTATCTATGTTTCCTAGAAGATGTTAAGATTTTTTTTTTCATATAGTAACTTAGTCTCAAAGAAATAGTTAGTTGTCACTTGAAAATCAGATGTTTGAGAAATGATACTATTGTTCTAATCTAAGACATATGGGCATGTAAATAGTCTGTCTATATTTTATTTGAATGGTTACTCTGAACAAGTAATTGATAATAAATATTTTTAAAGGTGACTAAGCATGATTTAGGGAGCACTGGTGACCTAGTGGTAAGGAGGTGCACTGCCAACCCAGAAGCATGCAGTTCAAGTCTGCTAGCTGCTCCATGGCAGACAGATGGACACTCTTCTGATAGGCAATGCGATTTACTGCCTCTGAAAATTCCTTGGAGGGTCAACGGTAAGTCTGTTCTGACTCAATGGCACGTAACATCGTAAGAGTTTGATGGCAGAATGAATCTGACTGAAAGGTTAGCTGGTTCCAATTATGCTCATTTGGTAGATTCAAAGAAAGATTGATGAGCTAAAAATGTTAGCCTCGTTTTTGGTGGCAGCTTCCCACCACACAAACAACAATAGACGGGAAAATTTTAAGTGGTCCCTGTTTTGCTTTGCAGCATGTTTGTTTTTTTTTACTGAGTAAGAAATGTTTTGAGACCCAAATGGGAGGAGAGAATGGCAATAGGGCATTCTGACCATTTCGCTTTGCTAACACCATTACTCTCTTAAGCAGGACTTTTGTGACGTGTGGTTCTGTGGAATTTTGTGCTTACTACTGTAATAGTGCACATGGCATAGCTCCGCCAACCGGTTTTGTCTATGTAAACATTTAAAGTATTATATTTTTATAAAAATGTTTATTTTTAATGATAGAAGCAAAGTTTTGGTAGGCCACAAAAAAAAACTGCACTGTGAACATTTAAAAAAAAGGTATGTCAGACTTGGATTAAAATAATAGAGTGATTTTACATGGTTGAGAATTGTGATAAGGAAATGTGCCGACGGCCAGTACACCCCACCCTTATTATTTCACCACCATGACTTGAAGCCAGGGGTTGACACAGCAAACTAAGAAGAGGGCGTGTTATGCTGAAACAGAGTAGAAGCCTTTGCCTGTTGTTTCTGGACTTATGGAGAGATACAGAGATGCATAAAGCAGAGGCATCGCCATTCAAGCATTACCTCTGCTTAACTGTAAAGAGTAGTACCAGCCTAGGAAGGTATATTTGGATCATTAGAAACAGGTTGCTCTGCAGAAAGAAATAACGATCTCAGCTGACATCAGAAATACTTGAGAGGTCTGTGGAAATAACCCAGCAGCAGGACTGCATATCTGTATATACAAGCCTGAGGAAACAACAATGTGATGACCACATTTGCTCTTTATCCACTTCTCCTTGTGTTAATGTGTTCAGACAGACTGGGAGTGAGTGATCATCCCAAGACTTAGCTGCTTGTCACTGCCAATGCCTGCAGTTGAGCTGAATGGTACTTTGTATGTTAATAGTCTTTGTTCTGAGAAATCATACCATTAAAATAAAGTGATGTAACATCTTGTATACCGAGCGTCGGTTATTGCTGGCCATACGTGATTGCCTGATCTGTGCTCATACTGACTGAGGAATCCTACAGTTGATTTCAACTGGCCGCCCAGAAGAAGTGTCAGAGGAGAGCACACCTTGGTCATGCTAATACCTGGGCAGGACCTACAGAACCTGCAGCCTGCCTCTTTGGAAGTCTCCATGCAGAGTCTGTCTAGCGTTTGCCAAATTGCCTGCGTTTCTCTGACCATCTACTGGAGTGTGGTGCTCTTAAACCAGAGAGCCAACCCCATGGTTGTCACAGGAATATCTGGATGGGGATTTGATGATTTGAAAAGCTGCGCCTTTTTTCTCAAAACTATGCTTTCTGCACAAGTCCCCACCTACTTCCCACAGAAACTTCATTCAAATGATGTCCATGAATGCTCCTTCCCCCCCCGCCCCCATATTTACCTCTTCCATGAATGTTCTTGTAAAAGGACTAACAAGTAAGCTTTCAGCAGTCTGTTTAGCCCTCTGAGGCTTACGTGGCACTTTGGGGAGGTTGGAAGGAATGACCTAAACCTTAGTCTGCAGAATACCAAAACCAAGTTTACTGCCGTTGGTCCGTTCTGACTCATAGCAGCCCTCCAAGGGTTTCTAAGGTTGAGAAACCTTTACAGAAAGAAGGTGACTGCCCATCTTTCTCCCTTGGAGCAGCTGATGGTTGCAGACTGGTCTTTTGGTTAGCAGTCCATTATGTTATGGGCTGTGCTACCAGACGACCTTCAGATTTGTCAGGCTGCTGACAGGTTGGTGGTTGGAATCCACCAACTTCTCCACCAGAGATAGGTAGTCTCTTCTCATAAAGATTTCCAACCTCCGACACCCGGTAGAGGGCTGCTAACAGTCTGAATTGATTCAATAGGCAGTGGGTTTAAAAAGCATATTACAGATGTTTCAGTCCAACTCTTGGCAACCTCCTGCTTCACTCTTTGCAGTGAATAATGGGAGTTGTTATTTCGCTTCATCACACAGTGTTGATGTGGGAGAATGGTGACCAGACAGGCAGAACCTCCATTCCCCTGAGAAGAGGACCCCAGCCACTTTCTCTCCCTTTGAACCCCCAATGATTCCTTTGAACCACTTCTCCAAAAACTAGCTCCCTTGTTTCTTTACCATACAGATCCAGAATGAACAGCAGACAGAGGAGGGAAAAGAACTCATAAATAACAGGAAAGTTACATGAAAGAACAGATAGGATCTTTGGTCTCTGTATTCTTGTCTATAGATGAGTATATTTGCTTGTGTTGTACAAATAGATGGTTAATGATTATTCCAAGCCAGGGAAGAACAGGTTAAATACAGTATTGTTTAGTTAAAGAGTATGCTTGGGAGATAATAGGTACCATGAATGTTCTAGTATATGTAGATTAGTAGCTCATGATTCTGAGAGTGGAGGGACAACGAAAGAGAGGAAGACCCTGGATGAGATGGACTGACTTAGTGACTGGGGTAATGGGGGTAGGTAGGTGTGTCAGAGACAATGAAATTGGCTCAAGATAGAGCAGGGTTCAGAGCCATTGAACTTAGGTCACAAACGACTCTACAGCACAAAACAAAAACAGTGTAACTACATTGACAGGCACAGTTCTCACTGAAGCCTTTTATATCCTTTCTAGGAGATTGCTAGGTATGCAGACATTGCGCTCCATAGAAAGAAATGTGCATTGCTTTTAATTCCATAAAATGTTTTTCTTTCCATACCTGACATTTTTCTTCAGGACTGTCTCAATCTCCTATCTATGAAAAAATTCAGTCATAAGCCAGTGAAATATTTCAGTTGGTGAATTGAAGGTAATAAAACAGAGGCTTGCCCAAACTGTCCTTTGTTGTAAATTACACCAGAGTCTAGATTACGTCAGCCAAAGGTATTGATCACAATGCTGAGAGGTTTATAACTACCATTGACTTACCGTGTGACCCTGGAGCAGAAATCTAGGGAAATGACAAAAGCATATCTAATGTAATGAAAAGCTCATTATCAGGACACCACTGCCCTGCCATCCATCCAGTGCTGTACTGGGTCTGAAGTAAATATTTCACAAACACTGGAAGCAAGGCATTTCTGTCTTCTCTGTTTTCTCTGTTGGATGCTTCTGAGGTATTCTGATGAATGTTTTCCATTTAAAAGAGTAGACTAAAATAAAGATTAATGAGTCAACTATTACTCCCATAAAGTTAGCATCCAAGTAGTTCCTAATCTCTTACTATTGCTTTTAATAAAGAGCTAGGTCTTCATGTGAGCCAACTGAGAATAAGGCTTGGAAGACCCTAAATGGGGCAAAGAGGCGTCTCTGCTATTAGCCCAAAGGTTGGAGGCTGAGTCTGTCCAGAGACATTTAGGGGAAAGGCCTCATGATCGTTTGCTGAACAATCAGGCCTTGGCAATCCTAGGGAGCTGCACTCTCTGACTCTCAAGAAGCCGCCATGGGTTACACAGGACTCCACAACAATGGGATTTGATTTCAAATAAGCCTCAGGTTCTATTTATCTAAAGAATTTAAAACCAATCCCGTCTGTGCAGAGGGAGCTCTGGGGGCCGAGCTCACTGGGATTTGTGCTGCTGAGTCAAAGGCAGAGCCTCCTTGAGTTCAAATCCACCAAAGGCTCCTCTGGTGCCTCCAGTTACAGCATGAGAAGCACAGGAGTGAGTCAGTTAAAAGTCAAGAACGAACTGGTGGCGTGGGGAGGGCAGGGAGAAAAGTGCAACAATGAATGAATGGAAATCCAAAATCTCTAAATTTTCATTAAAATTAATAATAATA